TATATATACAGATAAATCCAACACCAGCTCCTAGTAGTAGGAGATCTTATCCATGCTGCTGGTTGCAGTATATCATCATTTAGAGGAATAAAGTGGAAAAGGACTCTGACAGTTGTTTCGGCCTATGGGCCGAATGGAAGTACGGAGTACCAGGCCTTCTTAGTGTCCATGGGGAGGGTGTTAGAAAGCGCCCCTCCCGGGGATTCCATCATTCTACTGGGAGACTTCAACGCCCACGTGGGAAGTGACAGTGACACCTGGAGGGGCGTGATCGGGAAGAATGGGCCCCCAGCTCTGAACTCGAGTGGTGTCTCATTAGTGGACTTCTGTGCAAGTCACGGATTGTCCATAATGAACACCCTGTTCAGGCATGAGGATGTCCATCGGTGCACCTGGCACCAGGACACTCTAAGCCGAAAGTCGATGATCAACTTTGTAGTCGTATCTTCTGATCTTCCGCCGCATGTCTTGGACACTCGGGTGAAGAGAGGGGCGGAGCTGTCCACCGACCACCACCTGGTGGCAGAGGCAAAATCTCGGGCCTGGGAGGAGTTCGGAGAGGCCATGGAAAAGGACTATCGGTTGACCTCCAAGTGATTCTGGCAAACCGTCCGCCGCCTGCGGAGGGGAAAGCAGTGCTTCGCTAACACTGTTTTCAGTGGGATGGGGAGCTGCTGACCTTGAAGGAGGATATTGTCGGGTGGTGGAAGGAATACTTTGAGGATCTCCTCAACCCGACAGGAACGCCTTCCGTGGGGGAAGAAGAGACGGTGTACTTGGGGCTGGATTCGTTCGTCACCCAGGCTGAAGTCACCGGGGTGGTCAAAAAACTCCACATTGGCAAGGCTTCGGGGGTGGACGAGATCCGTCCTGAGTATCTTAGAGCGCTGGATGTTGTTGGGCTGTCATGGCTGACACGTCTCTTCAACAACAACTATTGAACAGTTCTTGTTTGACTCAGCTTTGGAAGGATTAGACTTTGGGTTTTTGCTGAAACCTGAGCAGGAAGAGGCTCTACGCTCATTCATTTTTAAGAAGCACATTTTCGCTGTTTTACCGACAGGCTGTTTCTTTACACTCCCCCACCAGCTTTCTGTCACGCTCCCTACGTCACAGTCAGTTGCTCTCATTGGTCAGAGCGTTGGTCAATAGGCACAGACATGGTTTGGAAAACAACAGGTTGTTCTCATCAACAATCTCCCGATGTCTCATTCATTTGGGCCAGACTAAATTACACATTTAGTCTGGTTTATCAGACTATAATTGCTGTGTAATATTATGGAAATCCAGACCTAAATTTCAAGAATATGTTAACTAAAATGCTGAAATATTCAAATACATAGAAATAAGAACTATGAAAGTGAAATATTTAAAGAACTATGTAACGTTCCTGGCCTTTATCCAAAAATAAACAGTATGCAATGAAATATTTGATTTCGATATAATTTAGGGATTCCTTTTGCTAAGAACTAATGGTTTTGCATCACCTTTTGTGAGCTGGAAGAAATTAAATCTTGA